ACAGATAAACTGTGTCCTATTCCCTTATTTTTTTTAGAGATAGTTATCTGTAAATGTTGGATTATGATTGAGGGCAAGCATAACGTAACTATTAGTTCTACTCACTCTAGAGAAAATAACCTTTGATCATTTATATGCTGTACACTCCCTAATATTTATTATAAGAGTAATGTCATGCCAAAATAATTTAATTATTAGGAGTATTTCCTAAATATCAAAACACTGTTTCAGTCAGTCAGAAAGAGGAGGAAATGGAAGAAAATAGAAATGTAGTGTACCTCATGAGTATGGCTTTAAACTTGTTCTTCTTATAACCAGAAATCTCACCAAACTTCTGTAGCAAAAGGAATAAAGACTGTGTAGCTACAGATAAAAAGCCCTACATCTGCTACTCACATATTTTAATACTATTATTTGATTTTTCTTACAGGGAGGAAGAGTTTGATGAGTATTTTCAAGACTTGTTTCTCTGAAACTCCATGTGGAAACCTAGATTAATTTCTTCTTGAATTGTCACGATTCATATCTGAATACCAAATCAGATTTAGGAATCTATATATTGTTTTTTCTATAAAAATTCCATTAAAGGCACTGCTCCTACAATTGACTGTCCATGGACACATACCCCTGCTTACATAGAGCATCACTGATTTCACTGGGACATGCCCATGTTTGTCAGTTGCAGGATTGGGGCATAAGCAGTTTCTCTTGGAAGATGATAGATACCCTGAACATTAATGAAGAATGACATATAACATACCTGGTTATAATTTATTTTCAGCTGAGTGCATTGTAAAGTACAAATCTAAAAAATTAATCTCAAAAGAGGGTGAGAAGGAGACATATCAGAATGGAGTTTACTGATAGAGTGCAGTGTTTTCACAGCGATCAGATACATGAAGTACTTGCTTCCATGCTGCGCTTTTTAGTTAATTGTTTTAAAGGCATATTCTAGTTGACTCCCTGTTCTGTATTTACCACTAAACTCTTTAATAAAATATATATAGTTCTCTCTTAAATCTATTAAACTATGCAGCAAGTGTTTGTGGATTTAAATTCATCAGTCACCCGGTGTTTAAGACTCAAACATCTGTATGTGTAAATCTTTTTGAAATATTGATACCAAAGTTTCTGATTCTATAAAACTTACATTTTGCTTGGCCTAAGTAAATATTTTGTTCCTAAAATTAATGATGATGTTTTCTTTAATTTTTTATAAGCGTTAGTTCACTGTTACCCTCCTCATTTTAAGTCTTTTATTTTAAATGTTGTTTGATTGACAGTCCCATGGTCACTCCACTAGTAGTTTGGGATGTTAGTTTCTCACCTTTGTTTTAATAAATAAGGTACTTGGTTTGCCTCTGGAAAACGTACATATGGTTTATGCATTATCTGTGGTTTCTGATCCCCTTAGCAGTGAATGAATGGTAATCCTACTTTAAAGTGTAATCCTGAGCATACAAAACAAGAACATATAATAACATATAAAGACTTACTCTTTTTTTCCTATTCAAATTGCAGCATAACTTTAAATTCATTTTATTGTATGTTTCCAAAGAAACAGTCTGCACAAGATTAATTACAGTGGCCATTCCTTTTCCAATGGAAGACTACTTCAGCTACATAAGACATTTGTGTTACCATAGTATTGAATGAAATTTACATTTTAAACAGTCTCGGTAAAATTAATGGTTTATAAAATACTGTCTGTATTTTTGAAAGCTGAAACCTTAATTGGATGAGTCATTCACGCAATAGATGCCATATAACAAAGTACTGTGTAGACAACATAATTGCAGACATGGTTGTAATATATCCATTAACATGTTATTACATGTGCTTGATTTATGTGTATATCAACATATCTCTATTTACATTTAGTATTACTTAACATAATTACAATGTTAACAGTTCATACATACAGAATGGATGACAGTACGGAGACACATTTAAGGTGTCCTTGAATAACAAGTAAAGGTAGCCTTGTGTGTGTGAAGTCTTCTTTAGGTAAGAAGATGGATTTAAAGGTTAATTCTTTGTCATCTTGCAAGCTTGGTTGGGAGCCAAATCCAATCTGCAGCAATCAGCTTAAGTCTGTGTAACTTGTCTGTAGGGGCTTTAGTAGAGTCTGTTGCTATATTTGCTGCTGCAAATACTGTAGAATAGGCATGTATTTTGGATACCTAACTCTTCTCTGGGCCTTCACTATGCAGTTATAAAATGGTACAATATACATATTAAATACATTTTCATTTAATATATTTTGAATTAAAAGTAGACGATAAAAGCAAACTTGGTATTTCCTCATATCTACATTTATTACAGAAAATAATACATTATACCCAGTTTTATGGCATTTTTAAGTCTGCATAAATATTTGGCCCATTAATACATTAAGGATATAACAAATAGGAATATTTTTGTGCAAGAATGTTTTATTTCTCATTATAGTTGCACAGTATCTATGTCTTGTGTATGTGAGAACATTTTTAAATCATTTTTATAAAAATGCTAGAAGGATATGGGGCAACAGAGAAGGGAGAATGTAGTTTAGCATGCCATGTATACAGCATAATTTGGGTGTTACCTGTGCACATTTAGAAAGAATAGTGTTTTAATGTATGGAGATACAAAATCAGAGACTTATTAATGGAGCATTGGTCAGGAACTGCACATCACAATTGAAGAGAAAATTCTGAAATGTTTTTCTCCTGCACTTTGTAGGGAAACTTAATATACGGTAAAAGTATTCATCATGGGCCAAATATTCCCCTTGCCTCTGTGGGTGTTAGATTCCCTTCAAGCAATAGAACCTGTACAATCCTGTTTTGGGGGGGAAAGGGAGGGTGGCAGGATTCGGGGAGCCTGCACATGGGGAGAATAATTTGTGTATTGCAGGACCACCCTTTATACTTCTGCACTGTTAGATTTGGAATTGGATCCAATGGATACTCTGGAATATGAATTTTGTACATAAATCCACTGGTCATTCCCCTTTTCCCCGCCTATGGAAATGGCAGACATTCTGGACCAAGAGTGGAAGAGTGGCTGTGGAAAGCTCCATTGCCATTCTTTATACTTGCTTATGAAGAGACCATTAATGCACAGACTAGCTTCCTAGGGTGTGACTGGAGTAGGATTTGTGAAGACAGTGGTTTTTTCCTAATCTTTTTGGGGGTAAATTCAGTGATTCTGAAATACCAGACAAATGTATTTGTTATTCTGTCCAAAAATGTTGTATCCACATTTCATACACCTTTTAAGAAGACATTTGAACCAGGGCCGGCTCTAACTTTTTTGCCGCCCCAAGCAAAAAAAACAAAACCCCCCCCCCGTAACAACCCCCCCCCCCCCCAGCGCCGCCCCGCTGAACCAAAAACAAACAAACAAAAAAAAAACCCAGCGTTGCCCCGCCGAACCAAAACCAACCCCCCTGCGCTGCCCCGCCGAACCAAAAACAAACAAACAAACAAAACCCAGCGCCACCCCGCCGAACCAAAAACAACCCCACGTGAGCGCCGCCGTGCCAAACCAAAAACAACCCCCCCGAGCGCCGCCCTGTTGAACCAAAAACAACAACAAAAAAACCCGAGCGCCGCCCTGCCAAACCAAAAAAAAAAAAATACCCCCAAGCGCCACCCCGCCGAAACAAAACAAACAAACAAAAACCCAAGCGCCGCCCCACCACCCCAAGATTGGCCGCCCCTTACAAGGTGCCGCCCCAAGCACGTGCTTGGTCGGCTGGTGCCTGGAGCCGGCCCTGATTTGAACATATAGTCCTACTCAAGGGATATTGGTGTAGATCCTTTGATAAATTCTTCATTCTAAATAAAAAGCTTACAATTCTTATGGCTGCATTTCGGTTTTATGTAAAGAGACCATTTTTGTTTATATAGGATGTCAGATTCATGAGCCATTGGCAGATAAATGGTGGGCAGAATTGTGTACTTATGGAGAAGGGAACGGTTTCTCCAAAGCCACTGCTGCAATTACAGATTGGCAGTGGTAGCTTCAGGGGGCCATGGGCCTGATTTTGTAGGCACAGGACTGATGCTAGTGGTTAGGTCTTCTGAAGTGGTGGAAGGGACAACTCCAGGATTGTATCTAGAATTGAGGATGCAGGAATGGAATGTAGTTCAGTCCAGATGAAAGAAATAAACATAATATAAAAATGTAATGCTATGAGTTATGAAATTGTCTGCAATTTTTGGTTTCTGGTATGTTCAATTTAGATCTTGTCATACGAAATTACTGGTTGTAATCTATCATTAAAAATCATTTATAGTTTTCTGGACGGTCTGCAGCATTTCTACATTTTAATAAAAATACAGTATATAAATTGAGTGACAAGAAACAATACCAAGAATTGAACTCATAATCAACTCATTTTGCCCCATAATTCATGTTTTCTAGTTTTCAATGGATTCTGCCTCTTTTATGCCATTAGTAATGACACTGAATAGATGGCAGTTGTTTAAGAGGATTCTTTGGCCTATGCTACCCTATGCTTTGCAGAAATCCACTGAGGCTTTTTGAAGTTCTTTCTAGATGTTTTGTTTTATTTTTCCTGTAGCAGAAACATAGACTTTGAGATTCTTTTAGTGCCATTGAAATGCATTACAAAATTATACATGTTTTGGATTTGCCATCATCATCT